TATATATATATATATGTCCATTCTCGTAACAACTGGCCCGTACATCTTACTGTGGTTTGTCCTGCTAAAACCATAACGAGAGGCCGCCTGTAGCCTCCATTGTAGTTTTTTGGGGTTACCTTATAGGATCCTAGCAATAAAACTGGTTAAACCAAAAAAATGAAGAACTGCGATAGAGACTATAGGCACAAGTCAACCCCAGACCCTAAACCCTAAATCACTAAACCCTAAATCCCTAAATCACTAAAGCCTAAACCCTAAACCCCCAAACCCAAAACCCAGGCATCAGTCAGACCCATTTTCTGAGAGACTACTCCCAGGCAGGAGAACGTTGGCGACCTCAAGCTGCTCCTAGGCTTGAGTGGCTGTCGGCACTGCCTTGCTTTAGGGTTTGGGGTTTAAGGTTTAGGATTTAGGCTTTAGGATTTAGGTTCTAGGGTTCAGGGTTTTGGGGTTTAGGGGTCTTATGTCTAGGGTTTGAGGGTTCTAGGGCATTCAGGGTTCAGTGTGTCCGAGCTCATCCAAGGGAGGCCTACGAGCAGTTTCGGGAAAAGGTTCCCTTCCTTTGTGCCGTGGCCTTACGTGTCTATGATGCCCCGGAACCATGGCGCTTTTAATTTTGATTCGGAATCCCCAGGATCTGGCTGCAAGGCAGTACGGACTCTTTCTCTTGGATGGCACTCCCACAGCCTTGAGCTCAGCCCATGTCGGTGGAGTTGTTTTCTGTACTTGCCCCTCCCCTTCCCCCCTCCCACTGTGTCTGCCGAGACTGACTCTCGCGGCAACCTGCGGTACCTGAAAAGTGCTCGCCTTACTCGTCAGAAGCGGCAGCTTGGTCCCATGCTGTGGCTGCGGTGCCGGCATCGGTAAATAGTAAGAGTGAAAATAATCCAAGACTAGGATTCGGTAGCAAGTCTGAAGTCGTCATGCTATACTACTACATTCTAGTGTGTTCTGTAGTAGCGCTTATGGCCTAGTATGAAACGGCAGCCACCTGCATCAGAAAGCGAGCGGCTCAACGAGAAGCAGACGGTGGAAGAAAACGGCCTCGAAGGTGGCGAGGACTGCAGCGTAAATGTGCAAAGTGAGCCTGTGGATTTTTGTCGAATTTAGGATACATTGTGTCGGGGTTCTCAATGGATCTTAATTACTATGTAGGAGGTGGGCTTCGGGCCCTCAACCTTTCACCATGTTTTTGCAGAGGTATGACATGTTCTTGTGGTACTTAGTTTGGGATCCTCCTCTCCTCCCTTGTTCTATTTGTCGCAGTTCGCAGACCGAACCCCTGAGTGGCAGGAGCTTATCTTTGGTAGCTTGGCGTGGATGGAGCTGATGTGACGGTGCCGCCGCCTTAGACAGCGGCCAACTTTGGTGGATCACGACCTGCAGCAGCAACCCCAAAGCGGAACCCTACAATGGAGACTATAGGTAGTACTGCCATTAGCATGTGCACCAGTCCAGCACACATACTACTCCTTCTCCTCCTGCTCCTCCCGCTCCTCTGCTGCTGCTGCTGCTACTATACTACTACTACTACTACTACTACTACTACTACTACTACTACTACTACTACTGCTGCTGCTGCTGCTGCTACTACTACTACTACTACTACTGCTACTACTACTGCTAATACTACTGCTACTACT